CATTGGATATAATGCATCGGAAGAACGTCGCTATTTCAAGGGTGTGATGGATCAATCCACCAAAAAGGGCGAATTGTTTGGTCTGGAAAACCTCTTCACCTTCCAAGAGCACAGCGTGCTGCTTCGCGACATCATGCACAAGACGAACGTTGCTGAATCAAAAGCCGGCGTCAACGCTTATGACTTCCATGTCGATGAGTCGCAGTACGATTCTGAGGATGAGGATATACTTTCCAACAAGAATCTCGGCCTTGATGACGACGCTAATATCGCCGGTATCAAGAAGTTCGCTGATTCACTTCTATCTACAACCACTGGTGGCAAGGGCAAGATGAGAGCCACAAGGCGCACTGGGTCTGATCCAATCAACGCAATTCTTGCGAAGGCTGGAGTTCAATACACGCATGAGAACTCGGAGGTCATCGGACGCAGCGAGATAGAAGCTCGACTAGGCAAACAGGCCATGGAGGTACGCAACGACATCGATCTTGCGGGCAAACGCGTCTTCCAGGGTACACAGTCGCAATCTCAATCGCAGCATCGGTCCAGTAATCGGGATGATGGGGATGAGACCGACGCTGAAGGAGACGACGAGGTCCATGTTACAGGAAGTGCGACGAAAGGCGAATTCAAGATCAACTACCGGTATAGACTGAGCGAGGATGTGCGGAAGCGGCAGTTCTGTAGCATGGCGGAGAGTATGGGCTTTGATGATCCGGTCGAGTTTGCGCTACTTGTGGAAAGCAGTACGCAAGAGGAGAGGAGGAAGATGCTCGAGCGCTTCTATCGTGGGCGGAGGAGGCAGATGATGGGTGATTTTGGTACACCGAGATAGCCTACTCAGTCACTCCAAGTGTCGCGCGCACTTGCTTAGAGGTCTTTAAGGAGGCATTCGCGAATGTAGATATCCATATCACCCATAAATATAATGCCGTGGTTGTCGTTGCGTTACGTCGCACCTTCCTGCACCGGCTCGCTAACCCCACAATCGCACCCAGTCACTCGGTTACACTAAATCAAAGCTTTCCATACATCACCACGACGCCCAAGAATGTCAATTTGCGGATTTCAGCCTTGACATGGGGAAATCAGTAAAAATATACCGTGCAAAGTAAATGGCTCGTGGTGCAAGCGATACGCAGGTAGTGTACCGATCCAGGCAAGGCTGTTGCTGTTGCCTCTTACCTTCGTCTCAGTCGTCCCTTGTATCTTCATGGGTTATTTACCATGTTCATTCGCTCCTCGATGTGTTCTTTTGACTATCGAACCAAGCGCCTTTATGAAGAGGCGTCTCATCCGGATCGACTGGAATTACCAGCAGGCTCAGGGCAGGCATGCGCTCCCAGTAGTGTGATTGAGACACCCTCCCGACTTTCGCACACTGCCGGGCTGCGATCCGAACTTTAGCCAAGATTCAGCCATCGTTGGCTAAAGCATACCGCGGGGAACAACGTGCATCATGGTGCATATCCTCCACGTCGGCACGAGCACGTCTTTCCAGCCAGTGGAAGTAGAAGCCGAGAGGGTGGTCGAGTCAAGACGGAGAAGAGCTAGCGGAAACGGATAGGCTTTTCTGGACTTTCTCTAGCGGTACGCGGATGTGTGTCGGAATGCAGCGATTACCTCCGCAGTGGTATGGCAGTGGTTACAGTGCTAAGGAGGCTAGCTTTGCCATGGCGATGATGGCCTTGGTATCCTCGTTGCACCGGGATTGCGGCTCCAAAATTTCGGCCGGGTACGGGCGTAGAAAACGTTGCGCCAAATGTTACGAGATTTGCAGTCTACTGCGGTTGGCCTTTGCGGAGACAGAAGAGGAGCAGTCTCTCTTTACCACCAAGACATACGATCCTCACTCGGAGCTCTAAGCACTCACTGACAACACTGTTATCCTGGAGAAGGCACCGAAATCTCATAACCGGCATGCGGCACGCCCCCGGATCGGACGTTTTTCGAATGCTCCGTAATCGTGAATGTCGAGTCATTTACGAAGGGCGGAATGTGGAGTTGCGCGTCAGACCCAGGGTGCGCAGTTTTTTGTTTGCTCACATGACAGCTGAGCTACCAGCTCGAAAGGGTGTGTCGAACCGTTCGTTATATGTCATGAGCATTCGTAGCGTGTGCGCGCACCCAATCACCAATCTGCCGGACCAGTATTCGGCGGGAAATGAGGGCTTAGCTTCGGGGGCTTTACCCCGACCCACGTTTTCCCCACAATGCACTCCACACTCATCGCCTTGGCAAATCGTCGGCTCCAGCTAATGGCAATCTCGACTGCGCCAAGGCCAATGAGAAGCTGGTTGTTGGTACGGGTTCCAAGACGACGGTCTATCCGAAGTTTCCCCAAGCAGAAGCAGAACTTCAAAGTCCCTCGGACGAAGCGCACATGTCGGCAACGCATCGTGACGGGGTGTATGAAGCCAGAGTACAAATACCTGGGTCAAGGCCGTCTACCGAACAGTCAGTAGCAACCGACCTCACCCTTCACCTCGTGCCTCAACTCATACTACCGGCAAGATGGTCGCTCGCAACCGCAGTCAGCGCAAGCTGAACACCTTCACAACGCTGTTCTTTGCTGCAACAGCCATGTCAACAGCCATCCGAGTTCCGACCTCAAGTGGCGCAAAATACCCGCGAATGACATCGCGGTCAACAGAGATGGACTCAGCACCATACCGAGATGCTTCTCTATCGGTAGATGAGCGTGTGGAGGATCTCATCCAACGCATGAACATGGAAGAAAAGGCCGGACAGCTCTTCCAGCAGATCAGCTTCCCAGGACCTAACGGAACCCTATCGAACACAACTGCGCCGTCAATCCAAGGAAAGCACATGACACATTTCAACCTCAACGGTGCCATCACCGATGTACGCCAATCTGCGCGGTGGCACAACAGTCTTCAGCAGCTGGCTTTGGACACCAGACTCGGCATACCGGTTACGCTTTCTTCGGATCCCAGGCACACTTTCGTTGATGCCACCGGCAGCCAGATCGCGGCAGTCAAGTTCTCGCAGTGGCCAGGAAGCTTGGGATTGGCAGCACTACGTGACGCTGAGCTCATCCACACCTTTGCGGATATTGCACGACAAGAATATAAGGCTGTCGGAATCAGATCTGCTCTACACCCTCAGATTGACGTAGCCACCGAACCGAGATGGGCTAGAATCACCACGACAATGGGCGAGAACGCCACATTGACCGCTGAGCTTGTAGTCGCATACATCAAGGGCTTCCATGGCCCCGGTGAGTTCGGAAAGGATTCAGTGACCACAGTCTCAAAGCATTTCCCTGGAAGTGGACCGGTCGAAGACGGTGAGGACAGCCACTTCACCTACGGCAAGAATGCCACGTACCCAGGAAACAACTTCGAGCATCATCTCATCCCCTTCAAGGCTGCTATCGCAGCTGGCGCAAGGCAGATGATGCCCTACTACTCTAGGCCTATGGGCACCAAGTACGAGGAGGTCGCCGCTGGCATGAACAAGGGCATTGTCACCGACCTTCTCCGGGGCGAGCTCGGTTTCGACGGAATCGTCGTCAGCGACTGGGGTCTCATCACCGACGGCATCATCGCAGGACAAGACATGCCAGCTCGTGCTTGGGGTGCTGAGAACCTGACTGAGCTTGAGCGTGCCGAGAAGATCTTGAATGCCGGTACCGACCAGATGGGCGGCGAGGAGCGCACTGACCTTGTTCTCGAGTTGGTAGAGAAGGGCATCGTGAGTGAGGAGCGTATCGACATGTCGGTCCGCCGTCTCCTCCGCGAAAAGTTCATCCTCGGCCTCTTCGACAACCCCTTCGTAGATCCCGAGGAAGCCGTGGCCAATGTGGCCAGGAAAGAATGGGTCGAAGCCGGATATGAGGCCCAGAAGAAGTCCATCACACTCCTTACCAACAAGGAGTCAACTCTCCCACTCAAGGCTTCCGACTGCTCCAAGGCCAAGTTCTACGTCGAAGGTATCAACAGCACTTACCTAGAGGCTCGCGACCTGACCGTCGTCGCGACCCCCGAAGAAGCCGACTACGCCTTCCTCCGTATGGCCGCCCCATACGAGCCCCGCCCAGGTGGTTTCGAGAAGAACTACCACTCTGGCTCTCTCGAATACAACAGTACCGAGAAGGCGCGCCAGGCAGCCATCTACTCTGCCGTCCCCACCATTGTTGATATCTTCCTTGACCGCCCTGCTGCTGTCCCCGAGATTGCCGAGCAAGCCCAAGCCCTCATGGTCAACTACGGTACTAGCCCTCAAGCCTTCCTCGATGTTATCTTCGGCGTAGACGGTAGCGGTCCGGAGGGTAAGCTGCCGTTCGATCTCCCGAGGAGCGACGAGGCGGTTGAGGCGAGCAAGGAGGACGTGCCGTTCGATACCGAAAACCCTGTATTCAAGTTCGGACACGGTTTGAGGTATGAATAGGAGGACGCGCTGTCGAGCCGCTTAGATAGATGACGACATAATGAGACGGTCCTAAAGTCATGATAGCTTAATGTATTTGTTGATACCCATGCCTCTGTTTGTTCTTCGATGTGCTGTCTGTTCCGCTGCGCACCGCAGTCGAACCGTAACGGTAGATGTCATCTGTTGGGTGCGCGGATCGCGTAGCATATAATGATATCTCCAAAGTGTTGACACACGGCAAAGGGAAAGAGCAATGCCGTTCACGCGAATTGCGAGTAGCGTGCTGATTAAGCGAGACGCGTCTTCCCTGCCAGCCGCGTCGCGTGTTTCTGACAAGCTTCCTCAGAATTCCCCCAACGGCGTTCCTCGGCTAAGCATCTGCACACGCACTGAATATCGTATCTTTAGCCACTATCGATTTCATCATTACTTGTTATCCCCTCCCAATACCTTCATATTTCGAACTAACTCAAAAAGCATTCTACGTGCTCGGTGATAGCACGCTACCTGCCACCGCGAAGAAGCCAAACATAGCTACAGTCATCTTAACTACACAACGCTCTACACAAGGAGGAAGAAACCGAGTGAGCGTAAGCTCTTCTCCATTACCGGAGTATGTCTTCCGCCTTGCGTGATAGCCATTCCTCGTAACTCTCCACCTGATTCATGCTACCCACGATGTTGAATTCGACGTCTCTACGCCCCTGAAGGCGCCTGCAGACTTCCTGGACCAGGCGCTCTTCACGTACCCCCGTCAGTGCGAAGACGATAAAATCGTTATGATGAAGGTAGTGCCTTACATTGTACGTATGCTCTGTGTGTAGTCGCACAAAGCCAAGCTGCGGAATCGAATGCAATGCGCCTACAAGAGCCTCGACGCTAGGACTGACCAAAGGCTGACCATGCAGGAAGAATTGTTCCATCGCCTTCCGATCGGGGGAACCCATTATCATGTGCATAGGTAGCCACATATCCAGTGTCCGCAAGTTTTTGCACTCTCGAAGCAACGCGAGCATGGTCTGATAGTCGTGGTGCTGCGCTTGCTCATAATCTGTATACCTCGCTTGCGCAGTGAAGCCGGCGAGGGCGCTTCTACCTAGAGGGCCGATTCTTTCGAGGAACCGGCGAACGACGGAGCAGTAGCCCTGTGGGTGATAATTCTCTAGGACAATCGTGATATGGATTTGAGCCCAAAAGAAGGTCTGAACCTCTTTCCGGATCTGCTTGTCCAAGGCTCCGACAACATGCAACGCTGAGATGGTGCGGTCATAGCGGAGTTCTCCAAGATCTAATTCCAGATGATGTGTCCGGTAGCGAGAGAGAAATAAGCGACCACTGCTGGCAGTCATCTCCCAGTTTCCAGCTTGTGCGAAATCGCCCGAAAGAGGTTCGAAGAGGGCGAGATCATAGATCATGTTTCGGATCTCACCAGGCAAGTCCGTGAAAGAGATTCTGGAAGGATCCCTCTTGAATTCGCTGGTAAGCATCATCTCTGGGTGCTCACGAAGACGACGCTTAGCCTGACGAACCGGCCTTCTCGTGTGTTCCATGTGCATCTCTCGAAACTGACGCTCAAGCATGTTGATCATCCGTTGCTTTTCTCCACCTTGGAACATCCCGCGCGATTTCATCTCCTCGCGAAGTTCCGAATAACTCATGGCCGCATAATTTGGCATGTCGTCAGCTTCAAGCCTAGCGAGTCTTGTTTCGGAAGCGATGTAATTGGAGTAGCTCATTTCGGGCTTTGGCTTTGCTGCTCGTCGCACCATATTGAGAATATTTGGAAGTTGGGGGCTTGGATTGACCTGTAGTGCGTATGGAAGATAAATATTGCGGGTGTTTGCGGTTTTGAGGAGAGAAATAGTTGTGTGTGCGTTGTGCAAGCAACGAAGACGCAGCGGCGACCATCTTATATTGCCCTCTTCTGACTCAGAGTGTGCGATGCATACTTTGGTTCTTCTATCTCGTCCTATGGTACTGCGGTAACGCGACGCAGACGAGCGACTTACAACTTCCAAAATCCATATGTACCCTTATATATTCCTCGACCGTTGACTCACTGCGGTGTGCGATTCGATATTCTAGTTCCCTTCCATCCTATCTATGGTACTGCGATAACGCAGAGCAAGACAAGCCACTCATAACTCCTAAAATACATAACCACCACATACGCAAAGGTACTCCTCATCAAATAAGAGAGATCGCAATCCTCAGAGCCATATGTACCCATATAATTAGGTCCTCTCGAAACGAGAAGTATCGTCAAATCAAGGAGTTTGAGGAGAGAACGCACTAGGTGGATCATAGGGTCTCCGCGATGTGCCTAGTGACTACGAGCACGGATCTGAGCAATGAAATGTTGCCCTACTACTCAGACCTAACTGCGGGCTGTGTAAGATCTTTATGCGGGTTTGATTGAGCCTTTGGCGGCGGCGAAAGAGAGACTACGAAACCTGTCACCTAGCACAATGGTCACCTGACATCCCTTCCGAAGATGCCAGGAAGACGGAACATGCGCGCCTATACCGCCTTGATTGCTATATATCAGTAGCGTTACTCACCCGGTCAACTTACGGCAACACATACTCCCAGGTGACATATGAAATGCTTGCTACGCTTACACGACGACACCATAAGGGAGTCCCTCTCAAGACCTCTCTTTCCATGCATGTGCTAGCATCCCTCATTATGCGTCTCCCCTGAGATCTCAGACTGAGGTGACTGTCGATTGGAAGGTCGTTTGCTTCTCAACATCCAGCGTGACCGACGCCCTCACCTTCCGTCTTTTACATCTCGACGTGACTGTGGATTGCCTGTTCTACCGCCAAACGGTGGGAATTTCTGTTTGTATATAATCTACCGTCCTCACACGCCTGTTCCTTCTTTCTCTTCTATATCTACCAAAGCATTTCCGCTCTCAGCACCACGTTGCCAAGATACCTTTTTTATCTTTCCGATAATCGACAAAATACGTCAAGATGTCTGGCAACGCTTCCTCAACCAACGAGCTCGTGTACCGTCCAGCTGGTGACCGTCCGACCGGTTACCAGGTCAACGACTTCGAGGCCTATGCTGATGGCAGCATGATCACCCATTGGCGCACATATAAGGGTAGAAGCCCAAACTTCGTCCACGACAGGGACGTCGCTACTGTGGTAAAAATCAGCAACGCTATCGTAAGTTCCCTTCATCTTCAATCCCATCATTGCCGATGCCATTCAACTTCTTGACCACCTTCACCTTCACCCACGTACTTTACCTATCACTTATTAACATCAATCAGGATCTGGTCGAGAATAACATCAACGCGATAGACCAGATTGTCTGGGGCGTAACGCACCGTGACGACTGCCATCCCGGTGTCGAGTCCATCGTTAACAACGCAGCCTTGGTCGACCTCCTACTAGTCCGCCACTACAAGAAGTGGGGCGGTCTCGTTCTGCCACCCCTTCAAGCAGCCCGAGGGCTACAAGATGCCCATGAGGTGGTCGCCGAACAAGAGAAGCAGCGAGGAATGACTTGGGCATCTGGTCGTTCGCTGATGAAATATCCCAACTGGTAAGATATGGGATGAACCTTTGCTGGAGCAAGATGAGACTGACATGAGGAGGCGCGATACTCGCGGTATGGCACCGCCTCCGGGTTTCCAGGGACCGATTGCACCGCCGGCTTTCACCCCGGGTCCTCGTGGTGAATCTAGTCGTGGACGAGGTGGGACCCGTGGCCGTGGTGGGTTTGGAGGTGGTTACTAGGGTCAGCTCTACATGCTTGAGACGGAGCACATCGCGAACACGAAAATATATGAGTTGACGAGAAAGTCGAATTGGAGATGGGCGAACTCATTGGATGACTAGATGTCGTTCAGGCCTCGCTATTATGGATACTTTCTCTCCCCAAGCGTTTTCGTGTATGTGAAGTTCACTGCACTGCCATGCTCTTAACATCAGCAGTAAGCTTCAAGAAGTGATTTCCAGCAGCATCTTCCTTGATCATCTCCGCAGCTCCCTCTCCAATACCATACGCCACCATCTGTGTATGCCCATTGTTAACCTTTGGAATGGAAGACACGTCCGCCACGCGTAGATTTCTGACACCGCGCACACGAAGTCGCGAGTCGAGAACAGCATTGGGGTTATCCGCTTTACCCATCGCGCAGGTGCCGGATGCGTGGTAACCTACATCCACCACATTAGTATCTTCTCACATTTGTAGATGAGCATGGAAGTGACTTACAGGTTGTAGCATGTTCTCTGACATGCGGCTCCCATTCCTCCCTCGTCTCAAAGCCATGATGCGCTAGGGCATCAGGCCAACTCCCCTTGATCAAACTCCTTGTCCCCTTCCCCTTTGTAACAATTTCATTCGCAAATCGACATGCCTCGGTCATGACCAGCATATCCAGTGGATCTTCCAAATACGCATGATCGACAATGGGGTTTTCGAAGGGATCAGCCGACTTCAGCGTTACGCTACCCCTGCTATGCTGGTTGAAGAGCAGTGCACACATGGCAAAGGCTTGTTTGTGATCAACAGGGAAGTCGGCGTATTGTTTTGGTCCGCCGTAGAGTTCGGTGTTCCAGAATTCAATGTTGGGTTGCGAGGGGGTGAGGCCCATAGGATCGCGGCCGGGTTCGCGATGGGCGTCTGTCCATAAGGGTGAGTCTTGGAGGCGCTCGTCTAGACGCGCGTAACCGAATATGCCGAAGGGGAAGGTAGATAAGATGCCTGTTTTCTTCTCTTTGTATAACGCGTAGGTCGAGGTCATGGCGTCGTCGTGGTATGCGAGGTGATCGTTCGTGAGGTTGGGTTCAGAGACCTCGTAGAAGATGAAGCAGAGAATGTGGTCCATGAGATTTCCGCCTACACCTGGCAGATCAACGCGACACTCGATACCATGCTTCTCTAGTTGTTCCTTCGGACCAAGACCAGAGCGCATCAAGATCGGTGGGCTGCAGTATGCGCCCGCTGCCACAATGACTTCTTTCCTCGCGTGGTAATCGATCTTCTTGCCGTTCTTCGATATCGTAGCGACACCCGTTGCTGCAAGGTCTCCGGCATCCTGACTGAAGAGAAGCTTGTCAACGGTGACTTCAGTCTTGATCGTAATATTCTCGCGTCGATAGCCTTTGGTGATGAAGTCGGCGGCGGTACTCCGTATGCCTTGATGCACTGTTCGCGGTACATCGCCACATCCGTGAGGGGTCTCTCCGGTGGAGAACATGTCCGCGTGGTAAGGAAGACCCTGGTCGACAAGACTTTCCCTAACACGTTCAGATATGGGTGCCAGGTCGTGGGGCTCGATGTGCAGAGGTCCTGACGAGCCATGAACAGACATATCCGCTTTGTGCCAGTCCTTCTCGTGGAAAGTCTCGGACTGTATGAGGGTCAGCTTGTATGCTCTCATATCTCTGCACTTCCAGAACCGACCTTCTTCATGTATTCGAACATCTTATCGCCCGTCCACTCATCCAGTTCCCAGTCATCGTAATCCTGCTTGGTGCCTCGTATACAAAGCGTGCCGTTCACGCCACTCGATCCACCAAGGAAGCGTCCTCTGCTGACCTTGACCTGGCGGTTGTCCACCTTGGGCATGGGCTCGGTAACGATGTTCCAGTCTGTTTCCTTATCGAAATTTTGGCTCCATCTAGGACGATTTACTTAGCATAACCCAAACATGAGTGTCCGTTCATATGGCTGACTTACCCTCCCGCCATGTGTACATTCTCAAGGTCTGCATTGTCGGGTCCGGCTTCTAGGACGAGGATTTTGGCGTTAAGATCTTCCGCGAGGCGTCCTGCTATTACACAACCGGATGTGCCGCCACTGATGGGTATATGTTAGTAAGAGTATCTGGGGAATGCTGTAATGAGTATGATAAGATGTCAACTTACCCGCAGATGATGTAATCGTACACTTCTGTAGGGTTCACCGAGTCGACGCGTTCAAGAGACATGGTTGGTTTGTGAATAGATGATAGAGGAGACTTGCCTCCCAATGCGCAGTACGAGGTCAGAGTCCATATAACGTGGTCTGGTTAGTCTAGAGCTATATGCCACGGAATGAGACCGCGGTGCACTGTAGCGCTACCGGGTACGGTTTTACAAGACTAAATATGTTGGAGCTGAGTGGCTACTGTGCTCTAGCTAGGCTACTTTGACATGCTATTCCAGTGACGCTGGACCAATAACACGGAAAGGCATGAAGAATTTGGAAGACTTGCTTCAGTCAGCTTACACGCACATGCATCTTCCTCATCCACGTAGGCCTCCATTTGCCAGGGAAGCGGAATGAGTCCGAACTTGTCGATCACGCAGCATTTAAAGTTCGGGCCTAGTCCATCTTCTTGGCTGTCGAGGAAGAAGCAAGGTCAGAGGGCGCAGACAACTGGGGTAGCGCGAGACGCGGACGAATGAGGCGGGAATGGGCGAGATATAGCGCTCATCTAAGTTGGTGCCCGGTCGTGGAGACGTGCACGCTGGCGCGTGGAGTTGCATTGCGGGGTAAACCTATGTATCCGAAGGGTCTACCTAGGTATGCACACTAGCCTACTCAGCTCAGGTACGTTGATTCAAAGAACGCAGCTCTTGGAAGCCCTGCTGTATAGTTATATGCCCTACATACCCATCTCTATATCCTTCGTTTCGTAACTTCCGTGACCGAAGACGTCCTCTCACGCGTCGTATGCACAATCGTCTTCGCCTCCATTGAGTTCTTAGTCGAGCCCAACTCTTGCTTCTTACTCTTAACAATCGCTGGATGTCTTGTGTCCGCGGCTACGCGCTCATAAACAGTCGCCACAGTCCCGACTACTAGACAGAGCAGCAAGATCAGGTCAACGATGTGCACACCCCACCACCAATGCTGAACCCCGACTCCACACGTGCTAAACTCGAAGACCCACTCGCCCTTCTCGCCCTTACTTTCATCGAACCACGCTGATAGGAAACCTGCGTAGCCTGAGTACTCTCCCATCATGCTGCGGAGGGTGATCTCGCGAATGTGAGGGACATCGTTGATGGAAGTGCATTCGTTGGCTGGGGTGATGTCGTATGGACGAGTTGGGAAGCGACGAGCCTTCCATTTCGGTGGCGCGGGAGGTTCAGGATCAGGCGCTGAAGTAGGCTCTGGTGACGATTCAGATGCTGTCTCGTCCGAGGCTACATCGGATTCGGCACTGGTATCGTTAGCGGCTACCACGTTGATGTCGACGCCATCGATATCCATCGAAGTAGCAATCATGGTCGCATTCGTAGTGCTCGCTGGCCAGTATGCCTCCTCTCTCTTCACATGGGCCACTTGACACGCATCGTCCACGCCGGGCTGACGAATGTAATGTACGACGTCACAGCCAGCGTGATCATGCCCGTTGAGTATTATACCCCTCCTACCCTGCCCTTTGCCCTCTGCATCTTTATTCGCACTCATGCCAAACAACCCCTCGAGAACAATCTTACTAGCATGGTCTGATAGCATATTTTGCTCCTTCACCCCTTGACCTTCTTCAAAGAAGTCGAAGTATGGGCTGTCAACACAGACACCTTCCTCCTTCTCGAGCGGAATATGGGTGAGGAGTATGGTAGCGTGTGTCTTGTCATCGACTGGAAGAGAGCTGGTTATGATGTGGTTCATGTAGGAGTATGTCTCGGTCTGAAGGTCGGAGGACCAGGCGGGTGTATCGAGATTCATCGAGTTCAGGATGATGAGGCGGAGTGTCGGAGGCCTGGGCAGGTCCTGTATAGCGCGTTTGGTGGTCTTGTTCAAGCGCAGTGTGTCCGGGAGCGTGAACCAGATATCCCAGTTGGAACTTCCAAAGGCCTTTTCGAATCGCTCGATACGCGACTTGTCGATGTCGCCAGCGTAACCAACGTCGTGGTTTCCAACTATGTTAATGACGCGCTTCTCCCAGTCTTGATCAGCACCCAGCACTTCCGTTGTGCCACCCCACAGTGCCTTCCTCTCTAATTTCTGCTCCTCGTCTATCGTCTCTTCTCCTGAAACTTCTAGTTCCAATGGAGGTTCTGTTGGCGGCTGTTCTTTCTTCTCAGTCTCAAGAGCACCAAAGATGGCATCCGGCACCTTCTCCAATCCCCTCATGACAACGTTCCAATAGCGCCCTGCTCGCTTCCTGAATTCACCATCTGTGACCCACTGACTGCCCAACAAGTCACCAAGCACACTGATGTGTGTGGGTTCAGTCCACCATCGTAGGCTTCTCACGATGTGCGACAGATACCAGTCGTTCCCCCACAAATCTACAGCCTTCCTTTTCCCCTCCAGCCATCTGCCAGCATCTTTGACGACACCTCTTGCTGCTTCTTCTACGATGTCTCGTCTGTGGGTGGAGTTGGCTGCATCGCGCAGATTCGGTACGAGCTTCTCGATCGACGGGAAGACGAGCGCATTCGGATCGGGGAGTGAAGAGTCACCCTCGAGCTGGGGATCACCGAGGGAGAGTAGACGGAAGGGTGCGTTGGCTTGCGCCTGCGTGGATGGGGGCTTTGGGAATGCGCAGCCGTGAAAAATGGGGTACAAATACAGCCATGTCGTGCCAATCAAGGCTAT